CCGACCTATTGTCTACTCTCTGCAGTATGCCCTTCTCACACTTCAGCCGACCTATTGTCTACTCTCTGCAGTATGCCCTTCTCACACTTCAGCCGACCTATTGTCTACTCTCTGCAGTATGCCCTTCTCACACTTCAGCCGACCTATTGTCTACTGCTGCAGTATGCCCTTCTCACACTTCAGCCGACCTATTGTCTACTCTCTGCAGTATGACCCTTCTCACACTTCAGCCGACCTATTGTCTACTCTCTGCAGTATGCCCTTCTCACACTTCAGCCGACCTATTGTCTACTCTCTGCAGTATGCCCTTCTCACACTTCAGCCGACCTATTGTCTACTCTCTGCAGTATGCCCTTCTCACACTTCAGCCGACCTATTGTCTACTCTCTGCAGTATGCCCTTCTCACACTTCAGCCGACCTATTGTCTACTCTCTGCAGTATGCCCTTCTCACACTTCAGCCGACCTATTGTCTACTCTCTGCCGACCTATTGTCTACTCTCTGCCGACCTATTGTCTACTCTCTGCAGTATGCCCTTCTCACACTTCAGCCGACCTATTGTCTACTCTCTGCAGTATGCCCTTCTCACACTTCAGCCGACCTATTGTCTACTCTCTGCAGTATGCCCTTCTCACACTTCAGCCGACCTATTGTCTACTCTCTGCAGTATGCCCTTCTCACACTTCAGCCGACCTATTGTCTATTCTTTGCAGTATGCCCTTCTCACACTTCAGTAATGGCTAACATGGCGTCTGTCATCATTGTTGCTTTCAATCTAATATCCGCTAAAGTTGCCTCTAAACACAACATGTCTAGATTTCTCCATCTTTCAGAAAACAAGCATTACCGTCCACTCATTCTGTACCAGTGAATAGTCAGCACTTTGTTATTTAATGTTGCATCTATATATATTTATTTAACTTGTTTATTCTTCTACCCCTCGTTTTTTTTTTTTTCAGACACCTGTTTACCTATTTCATTTCGTAGTATAGCCTATCACATCCACATTTTTTTTTTCATATGAAATATTTCTGAGTTTCATGTGGATGTTGGTTTACAAATGCTCCGTTGTTAAGAATTGGGTCGAAACGTTTGGTTATACTTGTGCGTATTTTTTCTATTCCATCTTTTGAGCTTTCTAGTCGTATTTCATCTTATTTAGCACAAGATACGCACGGAGAAGCAACAACTCAAGCAGACACATTACTTCAAGTATGTAGGGAGTATAAAGTCATTCAATGGACAATCTGAAAGAGAGTTGTAATCGAGCGGTAACAACGCAAATCAAATCAGGCGTCACCAATATTGTACCACAAAGTTGTAACGTTTGACACAACAAAGCACTATTTAAAACAGTACTGTATTTACTAGCACTGTGATACAGAGCGGCATGTGAATAATAATAACAAGAAACAGATATGTTCCGGGAGTCGTTTTAAACAAAAATATAAAAACTTTTATCGTGGATTCGAACAAAAACCTTCGGTCAAGTAGGTAAGCATCTGCTTGCACTATGGATGCTCCCGTTAAACAAAAGACAAAAAAATCATTCGTTCTATTTTCCGTTCTGCTCAGTGTATTTTCTACCCAGCGTCGTCTTCTAATCTTTATTTCCTTCTTTTTTGATGTATCATTAGTTCTTTCTCTTGGCTGCGCCATCTATCATTCTGTCATGTTATTTTGGTTCGGATCCAAACAGGCACTAAAGTCAAGAAAATGCAAATCGGATGTTAAGAATGGGGTGGGAAATGGCGTTAACAAATACCTGTTGCTCACAGATCCGACAACTCTATTCAGATTTGTTTGATGAAAGTTGTTCCGGTCGTTTGTGAGCCTCTGTACTCTCTCTACATGGGTGGTTGCGATTTTAATCTTGGAAAAAAAAATTCTAAATGGGATTTAATCTGAGTCATGACACAGCTTTATTCAAAAACAAAACAGCGGAATCCACTTGGATACGGGACTTCCTGACATTCTGTCTATACTAGCGGGGGGGGGGGGGGGGGGGGTGGGGGACGTATTCAGTCTCCAGGTGACTACTCTGAAGGATATTAAAGTTTTCATATCTCCAGTTGGGTAAGTGGTGTTTGTCCCCTCCAGCCACAAGTGCACTTTGTTTATAACAGTTTATGCTTTATGTCAAAAATAAAATTACATGTAATAAAATGATCACGATAAACGATGAAGAAATGGAAAAATATTACATCCCTGAATACCTTGGCCTCCGTATTAGCAACAATGGACACTGTACAACAAGTCACAGTTAGCCTTCCTATGAAACACGGAGTGAAACATAATTAAACACTAGGGTCTCTCTTCGCGATAACTTGGGAAGTAAATAGAGGCTTTCAAATTATAATTTTACAGAAAAATCTTGCAACACTAAGGCTTTAAAAAAAAAAAGAAAGAAAAGAAAAAAGAAAGAAAGAAACGCACAGTTACGGAAAGACACAATTTAAACATTCAAAATCTGTGTAATTTAAGAGAGAAAATTGTTCCAAGTGCACATGAGAATACTTTAAGTTTCTACCACCAGTTGACAGTTCTTTCGCATCTGGGTCATCGATAATTGTCAGCTGCACGGACTTTGCCGACAACTTATTAAAACGTGCTATTCAATAACAATTTTTTTTGGGGTAACACCTTGTAACTGGTCGACGCTCGACACTCAGAAGAAGGAGAGACAGATCTACTAGTACAATCGGAATTTTAACTCTTCGCTTTCTGCTAAAGATGGAGACGGAGCGCTTTTGGAGGTGTCCCGAGTGCTGTGATGTCGATTCCTAATTCAGTATTTAACAATACTTTTGTTAACAGTATCTGAGACGTGAACATTGAAAAAGCCACATTTATTTGAATGTATATTTATTTACATTCTTACACTTTGCAACATCTAGGTGTCATTTGAATATTTATAACAATATTAGCGGTTGCTACATAATTATCAACGTAAAAATTATGCTGCTACATGCGCTAAAACATGTTTTAGGATCAGCCTTCCCTTTCCCTTCACTCCCTTCTTTGCTATCGTTCTCAGCAGAAAAGTCTTGTCATTTTGAACATGCGGCATTGTACAAGACAAACTGAATTTGCGTTGCCTCAGTAAAGTGATACACATGTTTAATAGTGGGTAGTATATCATGCTACAATATCATCAGCATGTGACAGGTGGTGTGCCTGTTCATGCCTCTACACAAACCTCCACCTTTGTTCTCGATCGATTCAGATTATCTTTTTTCTCCTTGATGCTCCACCCAGCTTCAATTCTCAGTCTGCCCCTGCCTCTTCTACCGCTGCCTTGCAAGTCGTAATTAAAATCTGCTATAATATTTTCTTATACTGAATGGATTATAGCAACATTAATTGTAAACATTTAATATATTCTTAGCAGTACACCCCCCCCCCACCCCCATCTCATCTTCTCGCATACACCCCCGGGGGAGTGGGGGAAGTTCCAAGAGGGGCGTGCAGCAATTTTGAAAGTGATTCCATTTATACTTGACGTAATCCAATATCCTAACATTTTGTCAGTCTAAGTGAAAATAAAATATTTTAAGCACTATTTATTTAAAACACACAAACACACACACACACACACACACAGAAGCCAAGGACATTTTTTTTTTGAGCAGTTTGTGCATCTACTTAAAAAAAAATATCATAACAGGTGCATTTATTTATGGAATAAGAATACATTCCTTTATGTTTTGATCAAATTATTTTTTCTTTTTTTTTGAGCTTTGAAAAGAGGGGGGGGGGGGGGGGCATAGAAGGTCTTGCCATATACTCCATGAATAGGGAGGGCGGGGGACGCCACTTTGAAAAATTTAGAAACCGAGGCCCGGATTACAGTCAGTCTGTGTCGACAGCACTAGCCAGGAGCCCTTATATCCCCAGTCTCACGACCCCCTGTTTACATCTCCCTAAAAAAGTTTCAAAAGCAGAACGGTAGTAACAGACAGAGAGGTGATGCTTACAGCCTAGATGGTATCGAAGTTTCTATGAAGTCATGGTACGCCTGCCTGAGAGGCAAGGAACCAACGGTCTGCACAATATAAGCCAGAACTACAGAACACAGGAGTACCCACCACTCAAGTCCTGGAACTTGTTAAAGTCCAAAAGTGGACAAATAACCAAGATTATCTGCTAGAGTTTAGAGCCACTAAACAGAAGAAAACAAAATCTACAATAGGTCAGAATGAACAGACAGGATTATCTGTTAGAGTTCACAGTCACCAAGCGCCCCCCAAGAACAACAACAAATCGACACCACCAACAACAAAAAGAGCAACAAATCAACAACAGGCTTGAACAAACAACCATGATTTCCCGTTGAATGTCACCGCCCTTGAGCGCCAACAAGAGCAACAGCAACAAAAACAACAACAGCGACAACAACAATAAATCAGCAACAAGTGTGAACACCAACCAGGACTATCTGCTGGAGTTCACAACCTTGGAACGCAGCATCAACATTTCTATGAAACGGCCACTTAACATTGATCATTGTTTATCCTGACCACCAAATCTATTTATCAAGAAATTACAGCTTGTGACATCCTAGAGCAAAGATGCATCATAAAAGTGTCTCTGTATTTCGTGCTCATAGTTAGGTAAACAAAAATATTGACTGACGCATGAAGTATGTACAGACTCTCCATCAGACTGACAATACACAAATACAGAAATTTGAATCTTCCCTGTAAAGACAGTTCTTGGACCACTGCTTGCGCAAACAAAACGCAGCAATCTGTACAAAAAGGTACAAGGAATTTCACCAACAGTAAAATTACCATCTTAGTCACTTTCTTATCACGCGAGGATAATTTCTCAGATGTTTGAATGCCGCCTTCTCCAGCCCGCCAACTGATGTTCCTCCTGAGTGCTATGACAAAGATACAAGTGCAGACGATAACCCAGATAAGAGTTAGTATGGTTAATGCGAAGGAAAGTCCAGATATGGCAGATTGCAACGCGAACAAGCTTTCGGTAAAGACAACCATTGGTGAAGTTTGGTTGGTTTCCGAATTTAGTGTGGACGACAAAATGGATGAAGCGTACATTGGCGACAGTAACGCTACCATGGCGACACAAATTATGACCAGGGTAGCAACTGATCTACTTGGGGTAATTATGTCGCGCACTTTGATTGGTTGAACAATACAGAGACATCTCTCACATGTGATGAAAGCTAGGATCCAGTTACTTATCCGTTTGAAATAGAAGTACGTGCTTCCTAGAAATGACCATTTAATGTCTAATGACGTCAGAATAAGGCCTTCAGCTTGATAATATGTATAATGAAAAGAACAGATGCTGAAACTCAGAACCAGGGAGCAAAAGTCAGACACTGAAAGCGCCAGAAGACTAATATTTGTGGTGTTCCTGTGGTCCATTTTGGCGAAGACGAAAATATTGATGATGTTGGCGATAATCCCACTGAACGATAAAGCAGAGTTGACGTACACAACGTTAATGGTGGACATTATCGCCAAGTCAGTGAACAGGACGGCATCAGACATTGTAAACTAAAAAATTACATTATAACTATTAAAAGATGTCCTTATTATCTACTTTTATTTACTTTAACGGCTACTTTTCAGTACACGTGGAGTATTTGTTTAACTGCCAGTATGTCCGGCTGTTGACAAATTACTTATCTGACCAGTAATGACGCTACCAGAAGCAGCAACTTAGAATCTTGATACAAGCTTTCTATTGTGTTGTGGTCTTTTGTGATTTATCATATTTACCTCTTATCATTACATCTGGGCATACGCACCAGACAGAGGGCTTATGGCAGACACGAACGAAGACCAACGTCCAATGCATGTGCTGTAAAACAAATCTTCTTTTAGTGAGCATTAATACAATCACTTCTAGAAATTATAACTATGCAAATATAACCATAATCTACAGAACCACTTTGGAGCACAATCTTCTCATGTGTCCTTTCAACATTGTTCTCATGATGCCTGCTACACATTTAGATGGTTTCTTCAAAGTTTTCTGTTTACTTTTATTGCTGTAACGGCAAGTATCGACAGGACACGCCTATAAATACTTGTTTGAACCCATACTCTGATTAAGTCAAGTGTTAGATTCGTCTCCATGTTGGAGGCAATTTTTCGCAGTCCCGGAAAGTAAAGGCGGCCGGCGTGATGCTGACCACATCACCTATCTTGTGCCGATTGGTCTATAAAATATAGGTCTAGCCCTATATGCCCTATTCACCTAAAGGCGCGGAAAAAAGTCCTTCACCTTACTCACTTCTTATATATTGAACGCAACAGTCGACGATGTCTACTGCAAGCTGGGAATGTGAATAAAAACAACGGCAACTAGATAAGACAACCTATGGACTTCACAAACGAAGGAGGAACAGCAAGTAAGCAGACCATATATGGGATATCAACTCAGCTGTGGCAGCATTTGAATCACTCATGTCAGGCGTTGACAGCCAAAGTGAGGTCACTCTGTGAATGTTATTTATTCGAATAGTAGAAGCACAAACTTTAGCACACCTGATATGAGACAGATATATTGTCTGTATGATAACAAGACAAATTATATAACAGCTGAACAAAATTGATGGAAGCTAATTGATCAGTGTGGCCAAGAGGTTAGTGAACACGTTCGAACAATGTGATGATCCTGGAGTACCATGGTTGGATTTCAGTAGCAGTTTTCTGACAATCGTACGAGAGTTGCACGGTGGAAGGTATGGGACCTAATGACATAATGTTCGCGAAGACAGCAGTGGAATAATTAAATCCACCTTCACTGCGGAAGCGACCCACAATTTGATTTTACGTGGCCCAGGAAATAAGAGTAGAAATACAATAAAGAAAGTCTGATACAGATCTCTTAGTTTTAGAAAGTATCTTAGCTAAAGTCCTTTTACAAATTATTTGATGACAAAATGATGATTACAGCATTTATCACTGGAATACCCAAACCCATCCCTTCAGACCTGAGTGTTAAAACATGAGCGATGCTCATTTCCTGAAGCTAATCGAACAGATTATATCTTACACTAATTTCAACATGAAAGATCCGCTACCAGAATAGGAGAAAAAAGAGATGGCTAGAGGGTCATCAAACAGAACAGGGAAGAACAGAGAGATGGATGTTGACAAAAACGTTACAGATAATATAGCAATTATTAGTATTTCTCTGGCGATCGATACTTACATGATCACATTATTATAACTTCACCACGAAATGATTCTAAATTTCTAGACGTTAAACAAAACTCGGATTTGATTGATTATGTTATTGAAAGCTACGAGGTTAGTTTAACCATATCAGCGTTAATATTTGGCTTAATCTGGCTAGATCGTCCTATCGATGTCAAATAATGGCACGATCTAGTTGTGAGATGTTTGATCATATTTACTTTTCAATTGCATAATGCCAAGGTAAGACATTATTCTGCTTCAAAACGTCTTCTTCTTCTTAAAGTCCATGCTGTATGGCGTTAGTAGTCATGTCTATCGACAACCTTTTGTCTCGTGTACTTTAAATCAACTCTGATACAGATGATTTTCCATAGTCCATGCTGTGTGACGTTAATAGTCATGTCTATCCACAACCTACTGTTTCGTGTACTTTAAATCAACTCTGATACAGATGATTTTTTCCCATAGTCCATGGCGCTGTGGTGACGTAGTTGTTGTCCATGTCGTCTATCGACAACCTCCTGGTCACCACCTCGTGGTACTTTCCAAGCCATGATGTCAAAAACTGTACCTTAAGCATCTTTTCCTCCCCCCCTCCCCGGTCTCCCTCGCCTTCTTCCCCTCCAGATTTTCATACTATGTACTCCAGTTTTTCTTTCTCTCTTGACAAGAACTTAAAAGAGTGGGGTAGATTGCCGTCTTCTTGTTGCGGACAATCAGTATCATCTTGAGTAAGTTTTCTTTTCAAGATAATCTTCCTTTACTTCTTTTTATCCGTCCTGGTAATTCCTCATCTCAATTTTGGGTCTAACAAAAATCACAAACCTCCGGCAGCTCTCCAAACATATATCGCCTAAAGGTGACCTTGGTATGGCCTATTTTCACAGCTGGCAGACCATGTTGAATATATACAGCTCTAGGGCTCGTAATTTAGACTTTTTTCGCCGCCGCTCGATTTACTGGACCGACCGACAAGGGTCCCCCCCCCCCCCCCGTCTTTTTGCTACCCGCAACATTTTTTTCCCAGTACCCCACGTTAGCCTGGAAGTGGATATGGGAACTCAGGTAAATTTTTACAAAAGAATTCCTAAGCTTTCAGTGTGGAATTCGAAGACAATACCATGACGACTTGCAGTTGCGTCGTCCGCTGGTGAGATCAAGAATTCAGTTACCCCACAAATTCTTTTCTTCTAACTTTTTTGAATGTCAAAACAATGTATTTGTTGCACTGTATTTCTATCCTATAAAATCTACTCTGTAATTGAAAAATTTCTTTCCATTAGCTGGGGTCCCTTTTCCACCCAACTGTATGCGCATATAGGAAATTAGTGAAAGGACGACCTATATTTTTTTTACGGGGAACACAATCACGCATCCCACCGCCGACCCCCTTTTCTTTACTTCCCGGGACTGCACCCCGGTACACCCATCCAAGGCTTGGGTCGACCTGGGAGTTCCAAAGGTTAAATGTTTTGAAAAAAGTTTCTTGCTCCACCAACCAAAGGAAGCAAACCCAGGAACCTTCCGATCCGCAAACGCGAAGCGCGTGGGTGAGAAATGGGATCACAGGGTATCGCCCCCCAGCAAAAAGCGCCTTCTATGAGTAATAGTTACCTTGGATCGAGGGTGGGCGGGAATAATGGATGGGATGGTGAAAACACAGACAGCGGTTGCAAGAGCATGATCAATGGAAATTGACTCCTCCCAAGTGATATCCATTTATATGCACACGGTGGGTCTGGTAGTTTCAAAAAAAGTAAGAAGATGGGGTGCGGTTTATTGCAAAGGAGAATTGTTGACACTGTTGAAAAAAAACAGCCTAGCCTGTAACGTCACAACATCCAGCTTTCGGAAAAATTGAAACTGGCGTCATGAGCTTAGAGTGGCTTGCATCACTTGAAAAAACTCGGATCGGGAGCATTTCATAGATTGTCTGTCCATGTCTTCAGGTGTGCGGGGTAATAAACAGACTGATAGTTAGGCTGCTGTCTAGCTTTTGGGTGGTAAGTATCATTATGATAAGCAGACCTGGGGAATGCTCTGTGGGATCAAATGGACACTCCAATTAAACAGACAGTGAATCCATATAAAGAGAGACTAATTCAACAGGGGAGGGGGTTAGTATAGGTTCTTAAAGATATTTAACACTGTAAAGGAGGAAAGGGGGAGGGGCAGAGGCGGACTTTTCATCAGGCTGCAGCTGATACTATGAGCGTGTTGACTATTCGTTGACTACCGAGGTAGAAGACGCAGAAATTATGGGAGTGTCACGGGTGCAGTAATGTCAGTTCATTATTTCATTCATTCCTTCATTCATTCAGTTATTCAACCAAAGTCCTGAATCATTCAAGCGTTCTTGCTCCTAAGGCCACGTTACCAGACCATCAATAAATCTCTCCTGCTCTTTAGCCAAAACAAATTCCAAGTTAATTTCTCCTCCAACTTTGCAACAAAATGAAACAACATGTATTTTTTTTAATCTGTTTCTGTTGTCTGTCAAATTATCACTGTTCTTGCATTCTTAAAGAAGGCAGCTTGTCAGTACTTTTCTTCTTAGCAGCAATCGTACAGCTCGTTGATTGCAGCCTTGTCACTGTAAAACGATCTACAACTGTCCCCCGGACTTCAGGCCGTGGGACCTAGACTAACTTCAGTCCTGGAGAGCCTTGCATAAAGGCCTAGTCGGTAGTGACATGGCAGACATTTTTACAGCAAGAGATACCTAGCCACCGTAATGTAGTAGAAACAGGCCTTAGCAAAAATTGGAAAGGAGTCAAATCAAACAGTTTATCAGAGCACTGTGAAAGAGCTAGCTGGAAAGGGGTGCTACCTTCAGAAGGGGTGCCAATATTTGAGAGAACCCGCCCTGACATTACAAGTCTCGAACAACCTAAATATTCGAGCAAAAAACCAATAATAGACATACTTGGATACTAGGAAGTTAAATGTACAGCACCCATATGCCTAGATTGCTTTCAGGAAAACACAATAGACCACTTCCTGCTATCACGAATCCAATATAAGCAGGACAGAAAACCCCTGGAAGATTAT